TGTGTGTGTGTGTGTGTGTGTGTGTGTGTGTGTGTGTGTGTGTGTGTGTGTGTGTGTTTTATGCTATAGCAGGAATACAACACACCTTTCTGAGGAGAAAATGTAACAAGGCGTAACAGGTAAACGGAAACTAAAATGAAAGCTCAAACTGTGTGTGAGTCAGCTGTGTTCATGGATCAAACTAATAATTATCATTCTTTCGTTTCTTGAAGAAAGCAAAAGAAAAGCAAAAAAGAAAGCAAAATTCTCCGTTGTTAATTGTTCTCCTTTGTGTCGCCTTTCACTTGTTACTGTGCATCGATGCATGCACGCACACATTGATAAGAAGCCTCGGTGTCAGACAGTCTGCTTGCTGTTGTCGTGTAAACGAACGTCTGAACTGCGACACAAATGTTCCAGTTTCACTTAAAAAACGGCTTTGTGTGTTGTAAAATATATATATTTGTGATTCGCATCATAAATGTCCAGTTCTGTGTTTCTTCAGCAGATATTTTCCTGCACACATTGGTGATGAAACAAATCATATTTTCAACTCGAGGTCATGAAATAAACAGATCATTTATTTTATAAAACAATGGCTACGACTTCTTGTTGCTCTTGTGCATTGATTTTACTAACTGTGTGTTTCTTTTCACTAATATCAGTGCAATGATTATGATAACACAGCTGCCACAGCAGTCTGATTACAGATTTTCCTGCTTTAGTTGCAAAAAGAATATGCATCTCAGAATATTTCTGAACCACTGGATGAGCTGAAATGTAAAATACACTACAAACTGTTCTTTGATATATTTTACTGGGTCTAACAGCACACACACACAGACTGAAGAGTTTTAGAGATGATGTCATGCTCTGTATCTCTGACATTTTAACACGATTACTGCATCTTATTGTGAACGAGCTGTCAAGGCTGAACAAGAACTACAAGTCTATCAGCTGTGCTGATTGACAAAGATCAGGACAAAGACACATACAAAAGTAAGGACAAAGTCTTGTATAATCAAGACAAAAAACTCTCAGACAAAAAATAAATAAAAGATAAGAGTGACTCTTCTCAAAACCTGAACAGCCGGTTTTTGCACAACTATCAACCCTTCCTTTGTCCCGCTCAATTTGCAGTCCGGCAGCTTGAATAGAGACAAAAGAGAGTTTCACAGTCCAGATGCTGCCCTGCTCAACATGTGGTCCTGCTTTAGACCACGTGTAGGTCTGAGCAAATACAGATTTTTTGCTTTGAGATATATACTATATTTTAATTACATTCTGTAGCTGAACTTCATGGAACTGTGTTACTAAATCATTGCAAGATGTGCTTCAGACAATGGAGTGATGGCAGTAAAGTACAATTGTTGTAACTGTGTTTTGTAGTCTTCATCAAATTTTTAAATTTTGGTCATTCATGTTTCATTCAGATCAATCAGAAGATCAGTGGTGTTTGTAACTTTAACACATTTAAAAAATAATTTTATTTGCAAATATGGTCCTCATAATCATGCATAGCGATATCTTCAGTTCTTTCAAAGCGTCTCATTTCAAATGGCAGCCAAAAAAAAATGTGATATAAAAAATAACCTCTTAGATGACTGTTTGAAAAATGGTGAAGAAACTTTAGAAAACCCAAATCAAACATGTTGTAAAGTGATTAAAAACACTAAAGCCAAGAGTAGAATTTCTTACTAACACAAAAAAGAATCATATACTGTGTGTGTGTG